AGGAGAAAGGTGTCCTGTCTGAGCACACAGACGCCTGCTCGCTTCTCTGCCACCATCACTGGGCCAGTGGACCCAGCTCCTGGTAAGGAGCAGACCCCCTAGGCTCTGGCAGGATAGGTTCTTCCTGGCCCAGAGGCTGAGTATTTGCAGCCAAGTGATGCTGGATGCAATGAGGTTCAACAATAGCCTCAGAGTGCGTAACAAGTGGCAGGAGACACAGAAGACGCAGGTTTGGTACCTGGGTCGGGAAGATCCCCTGGAGGAGGACATGGCAACCCACTTAGTATTCTTGCCTGAAGAATCCAACGGACAGAGGAGCCTGGCGGGTTACAGTCCACAGGGTCGCAGAGTCAGACGCGATGGAGCACGCACACACGCCATGAGTCAGCACTCTCTCTGTCAGATGCACCGCATTCTGCCAAGCCCGGGCAAGCTCTGAGCCGCTCAGCCTGCTTCTAACATTCTTCAGTCTGCTGAGAGCCCACCCCTCAAATTGCGGACAGCTCGGAGAGGCTGTTACATCTATTCTGAGCCCCTTTCCTAGTATTCTGCTAAAATCAAATCAAATCAACCCAAATGAGATAAAATAAAACAAAAAAAAAATAAGGCATGGTTACATAAGTCTTGTTTAAGTCCACACACACACACACACACACACACACACAAAACAACTTTATGTGGCACAATAAATAGGATTTAACTTTGCTTGCCATAGTGTTCATTCCTTTATGAGTTTCCTAGGACTGCTATAACAAAGTGCCACAAACCAATTGGTGGCTTCGAACGATAGCAATGTACCGACTCACAGTCCTAAAGGCTAGCAGTCTGAATTCAAGGTGTCGGCAGGGTCTCCGTGAAGGTGCTGGTGAAACACGCTTCCTGGCCTCTTCTAGCTTCTGCTATTTGTGGGCAACCTCTGGCATGCCTTAGCTTACAGACACACCATTCCAATCACATGGCTATCTTCTCCCTGCATATCTTCACACTGTTTTCCCTCTGCATCTATCTCTGGGTCCAAATTTCCCCTTTTTATAGGACACCAGTCATACTGGAATAGCTCCGACCCTAGTGACTTCATTTTAATATGATAATGTCTGATGAGTTAAGACCCTATTTCCAAATGAGGTCACATTCTGAGGGTTTGTCTGGGAGTTAGGACTTTTGAGGGAATACAATCTAATCCATAACATTTATTCTAGGTAATAAGTGGATCTTGAGACTGTTGTCAAAAATCTAGCCAGGTATTCTTCTTCCTCCTCCTCCCCCCTCCCTCTCCTTCCCTACCATCACATTCTATGAAAAAATAAATATGATTTTTCTCAACTTGGAATATGTTTCTAAGAACATCACATTTTGAAAGTGAAAAAAAAAATAGCCTGCCTATACTATTCATTTAGGAATTAAACTAGCTAGTACTTGGTGACATCTCTGAGATTATTTTCCTGTATTGCTTCTTCACTCTCATATTGGCACTAAACATCTCCTATAATTTGAGCTAACTGTCCAACCCGATTTTAGACTCATTGAGAACAGGGCTTCTAGTTATGGTTACTCTCACAGAAGAAAATTCTGGTCACACTCTATAGATGAAACTAATGACTGAAAGCATGTCATAACATCCTCTATGCCTGCCACCAAATGCATTTTTTTTTTAAAGTCACTCTAAAAAAGTTGCCTGACTCTTTGCAACCCCATGGACTGTACATTCCATGGAATTCTCCAGACCAGAATACTGGAGTGGGTGGCCTTTCCATTCTCCAGGGGATCTTCCCAACCCAGGGATCAAACCCAGGTCTCCCGCACTGCAGGCGGATTCTTTACCAGCTGAGCCACAAGGGAAGCCCAAGAATATGGGAGTGGGTAGCTTATCCCTTCTCCAGCAGATCTTTCCAACCCAGGAATCGAATCGGGGTTTCCAGCATTGCAGGCGGATTCTTTACCAACCGAGCTGTCAGGGAAGCCCTACCACCAAGTGCACTGCTCCAGGCAAAATAACCTTGCCCTTTGGTTCAACAAAATTACTAGTAGAGTTGTTCTTGCCACATACATAAAGCCTGTCACAATTAGGGTTTCCACGGAAAGTAGGCTCTCTTTGAACATGAGCTCTTTAGCAAATAGTGGCATATGGCCATTTGACCATATGCCTGCCGTTAAGTCTGGGGAGAAGTTCAAATATGAAGTTTCTTTTTCAACTTTAAAGCCCCATACAATTCACTCAATAACCATTTATTAGATGTAATTATTGCCAAATTCCAGAAAATGAAAGGAATGCAGAGGTGAGTACCACCCTCTATAGACAAGTCAGAGGAATAAATAACTGCTATTACAATAGTATGATTAACTGCAAGAAAATAAGCCTGGGGGTCTTGGAGTAGCATAACTGATTCCAGAGTAGAGGCACTTAACTGATTCAGAGAGGTTTTAAAAGGTAACACTTAAGCTGAGGATGACAGGTTTAGTGGAAACTAACAAGCAGAGAAAAATGGGATTGCATTCCAGGTATAGGCAGGAGAGGGGTAAATTCATGAAAGTGCCATGGATATAGATCATTCAAGCACCTATCTATAGTTGGTACTAGATTCCTACAACGTGGAGACTAGAGGAGGGTGGGAGCAACTGGAGGAGTGACTGGAGAGGCTGACAGGACCCATGTGTTTGAACTTTACCTTGGAAGTGACAAAAAACCACTGAAGGATTATAAGCAAAGGAGTGATGACACAGAGTTGCTTCTTCAGCACTAACACATCATCCAGCAATGAGGATGATGAATTAAAGGCTGGGGAGTTCAGAGGCAATGAGGTCTTTAGACCATTGCAGGAGGTGAGGTGAGGGGTGATGAGGACCCCAACCAAGGAAGGGGCTGGGACAGAAGAGGAGAGGAGACACAGAAAAGGGCCTTTCCAACTGCAGGCCCAACCTACTAGTGAGTTGTAACAGCAGCCAACGCATAACAGCCAGGCTTTATTAACAAATAGAAAAAAATATATTGATGTGCCACGTGGCTCCTACATGAATCAGGGCTTTGCAAAGAAAGAAAAAAAAACACACAACTTCAATTATCTACCGAAACAGATCATTGAATATTAATACAGATAATAATCTACTATGATTTAAATTATTAAATATGGGTGTGTTTGTATGAATATAGTTATATTGAGCCAGAATATAAAATTAAGTTTTTCTGAAGATCATGAATAAAAATACTTGAAACATAGTGACTTAGAGACTAGTTCAGAATAGGCCTTGGTGACCATTTGAACAGGATGAGAGGCTACAAGAAAAAAATGTGGCTAGGTTGACAGTGGCTGCTCAGGTATGTTTTAACTTTGGGACACAAAGTTGAAGGAGTTCATGCCCCACCCCACCCTCTGAGAAGCTATACAGGAAATAAATGGGAAACTGGCTCTAGGATGGAGGAAAGAAGCTGAGGCTGCAACCAGAGATCTGGGGGTTCTCGGGGCATTAGTGACCAAGCAAGCCTTGGGAAACGCCACCCTCACGTGGAGAGAATACATGGAGTGTGAAGAGCAAAGGGCAGGAGTGAGGGCACCCTGAGGCTCACAATGTGACAGCGCCAGCAAGGAGAGGAGGCAGTCCTGGCCAGAAAACGAGGAGGGGAACCAGGCCTCCAAAAACCCAAGAAGCGTTTCAGGAAGATGGAGCCCAGTTGTTCAGATGCAGCGCAAAGGCCATGAATGCTTGAGAACAGAGACCCTACAGTTGGTAACTGGGGCTTTAGGAGAACAGTCTAGGGGAAATAATGGGCAGAAGTAGGCTTCCCTGGTGCCTCAGATGGTAAAGAGTCTGCCTGCAGTGCAGGAGACCCGGGTTCGATCCCTGGGTCAGGAAGATCCTCTGGAGAAGGATCTTCCACTCCAGTATTCATGCCTGGAAAATCCCATGGATGGAGGAGCCTGGCTAGCTACAATCCGTGGTGTCACAAAGAATCGGACACGGCTGAAAGACTTCACTTCACTTCAACGGGCAGAAGTAGAGTGACTAACTGTACCAGTTTGCCCAAGATTGGGGGTTTCTTGCTCCATGGCACTTTCAGTGCTAAAACTGGACAGTCCTATGCAAACTGGGATGGTTGGTCACCTTAGGACTCAAAATAGTTAAAGTTTAAGTAGCAGGTGAGATGGAGGCAAAAAGTATGGATTCTTTTTCTGAGAGACTCCAACTCTAAAAAGAAGAATGTAGAGTAATATTCCCTCTAGAGAAAGAAACAGGATCAACAGAGTTTTTCACTTCTTTATTCTTTTTCTTCCTTATTTTTAAGCCATGCTAAAGGCTTAGTTCTACAATGAAAGGAACAAGTGAGGATGAGGTTGGAGGTGTAAGAGACTAGGGATAACTGATGGAGCAGCATCTTGTCTTCAAGGAGCAGAAGAGGCAGATGCTGAGTCCTGAAGGAAGGAGAAGGTCCCACCTGCTTGAGAGAAAATTCCATGTGTGGAAGTGGGGATGGGAAATCGAAGGGGATTACAACAGATTCTTTCCATCTTGTCAGGACGTGGATTGAGGAGACGGGTGGGACTGAGGCTTGAAGGGAGATGAGCAAAAGCGTGGAAGAGCTCTTCAGATGTAAGAAAACTAAAACACATTCCAGGAAACAAGGAATGCCCAGCTGAGATGGGGACTCATGAATATGCAGAGTACAATGTAATTATTATTACTAACTAAGCTAAGGTCCCCAGCCTGTCCAAAGTCATACAACTGCAAGCATATTATAACATATTTCCAGTCTTGAAAAATATCTGTTGCTGTTGTTTATAGTCACTGAGTCACGTCCAATGCTTTGTGGCCCCATGGACTATACCCCACCAAGCTCCTCTATCCACGGGATTTTCTAGGCAAGAATACTGGAGTGGGCTGCCATTTCCTTCTTCAGGGGATCTTCTCAACCCAGGGATCAAACCCACATCTCCTGCATTACAGGTAGATTCTTTACCATTGAGCCACCAGGAAAGCCCCTTGAAAAACAAAATCTACCATTGCACTTAAGAATTGTCTATGGGCAAGTATATGGTTAAACAGGAGACAAAAATATTTGCTAAACAGGCTTCAGGAAAAAATGACACAAGAGAGAAAGCAACAGTGTGTTCAGCCTTTGGCAGGACTGTCACTAAATGGGCACTCCTCACAGTACTGCAGTAGAGGGAACAATCAGACGCGTGTGATCTCAGGTTGGAAAGTAATGCAGGGAACAGAATCAGAGATGGGGCAATTTGGAACCTACAGAGGGGCCAAGCACACATTCCTGGCATCCTGGATGGCTTGGCACCTTGACCTAAAGCCAAGTCTTGGCTGCCTGATACTAAGAACTCTGTGTCCTTCTTGGTGGGCATTTATACATACCCTATGCCAAATCCCCATGATAATCCTTTGAGATAGTTCTCCAGCTTTGCCAGTGGGGAAGACTGTTTCAATATGGTTAACTAGTCCATGACTGGTAAATTAGCAGGGATGAGGTGTAGCTAAGCTGACTGATTTAGCCCCTCCTTTTGCCCTTCTTTCTTTTCACCTGTAACAGTAAGGATAATAACAATATCTAAGCAGAGACCTTTGTAAGTATTAAATGAGATCATGGATGTGAAAGTGCCAGGGACCCCTACAGATGCTGTTCATTTCTTTGTCTAGCACAGTGATTTTCAACTGGTAGCAATTTTGCCCCCAGGAGATCTGTGGCAACGGGGATATTTTTGATTGTCACAAGTAGGGGAGTGCTATTGGTCTCTAGTGGGTACAGGCCAGGGATGCTGCTAAAAATTCTACTGTGCACAACCCCCACAACAAAAATTCACCTGCCGAAAATGGCAGTGGTGGTGAGGAAGACCCCTGCAAGCAGCATAATGCAGGGGACTGGGAATCACATACGGTAACAAATCACAACAGGGTCTCACAAGTAACAGGTTGCAGTGATAGGATGCTTGTAGATCTGGATCTTGGACCCACTACTTGCTTTGGGGAAGTTATTTAACCTGTCTGAACCTTACCTTTCAAATGGGGATCATAATAGCATAAAGTCATCTCAACAAGTTAAATTGTTGCCGAATAATTTTCTGCTAGCACAATGAAATTACTCACTCGTCACTGCCTTGAAATTTAATAGTCACCAAGTGTCTGAAGATGCCAAGAGTTCTTTTCAGTTAGCAAGGCTCACTGCTGTATTTCCTGTGGTGCCTTTCAAGACAGCTTTTCTTCAGAAGAGAGTGACTTAAGGATAGCATTGAAAGTTGTCTGCCATGGCTCAATACCATTTGTTCTTTCCCCAAATTCTTTTCTGAAAAGATGGCAGTACTTTTGATTTACACAAACACGGACCTAGATTCTAAAATCTTTTGCCTAACACTGGGTTTCAACTTTCTCCCATGCAGACATTCTTACCCTCTATCTTGGCTACCTGAACAGAAGCAGCTAGAGCTCTACAATATAACCAGTAGGTAATATCTTGTATTGAAGGGGTGTTGGTCTCTTGACGTTTTCACCGGAAAAGTCTACAGAACTGAAGGGCTCCCTTTTGCCTTTCCAGCAGCTCACTTCCCACCCAAGCTTTCCTCCTCTGCCCCTCAACCATCCTGCTACGCTGCCACTTCATGGCTGGTTAAAACACGTCTTTTCCCCAATCTCCCTCTGATGATCAGATCAGACTACTCTCCAGGGCTCCTTCAGATTCCATTCATCAAACCTGTTATCCAGGGAAGACTCCTTTGGAAACTTCACACTTTCTCTATTCCCCTTCTTGGAGGGACTGTGGGTCTAGGGAGTGAGGAAGCACAGCCAGGCAGAAACCAACAGAGGGAGGAGCCGAGAGCAGGAAAGAGGGTAGAGAGAGTACAGCTTGTAAGGAAAAGGGCAAACAGATCAGCCAGCAAAGAGCATGGGACTCACGCCCCTAATGGCTTCCATGTGTAGAAAACATTTAGCTATGTGTATAAAATCCATATACCTGCAGAACCAATCCAACAATGGGGGGTGGGGTAGGCTCAAGCCACGTTCTGTATTTTCCCTCTGAGTTACCCAACAAGTTGTAAAACAGTGAAAACTGGAGAGGTATTGTCATCCCCACCCTGTCAGATGAGGAACCTTGGATGCAAAGATATTATAAGTGGCCTAGTCTCCACCTCCCAAAGTGGCTGAAGCATGGCAAAAGGACAGAAATAGACTCCAGGTTTGCTAAATTTCTCCCATACCAGAAATTTGCAAGAAAAGCCCATAGGAAAAAAATATCAGAGAGAGAGCAATGAGAGTCCAGAAAAAGAAAAATGAACAATAGCACTGATAAGAACGGGAGAGATAAAGAGACGGAAGAAACAAGGAGCCAGAAGAAAATCTGGCAGAAAAATGACAGAGACCGACCCCGGCCCCCAACCGGGGAGCAGTAAGGGCGGGTCGCGGTGGCCCACTGGCCTCACGTCCTCAATAACACTGTCACTGACAAGGCAAAGAGACCACACAGGAAACCATCCTCTAAGAAGACCCCAAATCAATAACAACATACCTCTGCTCCGTTCTTTTCAGTACAGACTTTAATGCACAACGCGCTCAAAGGGGAGGGAAGGAGAGCCCAGAGCACTGTCGGGAAGGGGCTGTTACACTAAACACGCTAACCTTCTGATGGAAAGTTGACTAAGGGACTGGGGGCTGCAGATGCCACCCCCTTCCCCGATCCCGTCTCGGTTTTTTGGCTCAACTGATCCGGTAAGAACCTATCAACGGCTTTTTTTGTTTGTTTGTTTTTAAACACGAGGCTGTGGTTAAAACAACCCCCAACTCCTTTTCATCTCTTTTTCTGAAGTTTCTTTTATTAATCGAATTTTTAAAATCCCGTTTCAACTCCACGTGCACGTGACGGTCGTTCTTTAGGCTCGAGAGAGACCCAGAGCGGGGAGCCCCAAGCGCAGTGTCTACTGGGGGAGAAGGGTGCCGCGCAGTCAATCCCGGGGCGCCCCCTCCTCCCCGGGCGCCCCTTCCCAAGCCCCGTCGGGCCTCCAAAGGCCGGCGAACGCCGAGCGGCTGTAGCCCGCGCTGTAGTCGTAGGACACCTGTTGGGCCGGCGGCGGCGGCGCCGGGGGCAGAGCGCAGTCTGAGAAGAAGGGGGCGAACGAGGCCAAGAGGCCGGGCCCATCGTCCCCGCCCGGAGAGTCCGCGGCGGCGGGGTACACGGAGCGCAAGGGCTCGTTCAAGGTCAAGCCACCGCGGGGCGCGGGCAGCGGCGGCTTCTTGGTCGCGGGGCCGCCCGGGGCGCTCCAGGGCTCGGGGTACAGTAGGCTCCCCACCATCGCGGGCTGGGGCTCAAACAGGCCGGGCTCCAGCTCCGGAGGTCCCCGCAGGACGGCGGCCCCGGCGGGGAACACATCGAGAGGCTCCGCGGCGAGTAAGGCACCCGCTTCGGTGCCCGCGCCGTAGTCGGGCCCCAGAAGCTCGAAGAACTCGGCGGCCTCTGAGCCCTTCTCCAAGTCGCCCAGGCTCACGCCGGGCCCCGACGGGCCGCACCCGCCGCCGCCGCCCGGCCGGGACGGCTCGGTGAAGAAGGATGGCGGCAGGTTGCGGGCCCGCAGCGGGACCTTCCTGGCGCCGGGGGCCGCCGGGCCGCCCGCAGAGCCAGCCGCGTCCCCGCCCACGAGCCCAGCAGCGGGCGCCGCCTCCGCAGCCCCGGTCGGATCGGCGCCCCCAGGGACGTGGCGCAGCGAGTCGAAGAGCGCGGCCAGGCTCCGGCTCTGCAGGCTGGCGGCCGCCGCGGCCTGCGACGCCTCCCGCCGGGGAGCCGCCTTGCCGTGGGCCGGGACCGGGACCGTCTGGGCGCCTGCGGCGGTGCCGGCGAGCGGCCGCTTGGCGGGCGTGTCGGCGGCTCCTGGGGAGGGCGGGCCCGGGGGCGCGGCGCCCATGAGGCCACTGCAGCGCTTGATCTGCTTCTGCAGGTACTTGCGGTGGTTCACCTTCCGCTTCGACTTGCCGGGCTTGTCCAGGGCCAGCTTGATGTTGCTAGACGCGGAGTCGATGAAGCTGAGCAGGTCGCGGGTGGCCTCGCGCGCGTCCCCGCTCTCGGCGCCCGCCAGCAGCGCGCCCGCCGGCGTCCCGGTCTCCTCATCCTCGAAACAGCAGCCCTTGTCCAGGGCTCCGAAGGCGCCTCCCAGCCCGTCCGGGGAGCCCCCGAAGCCGAAGGGGACGAAGGGGTGCGTGCTGAGGAGCGCCGCCTGGACTGCCATCGCCTCCGCTCCCAGGCGGCCCGTGCGCCCCCGGCCGCTTCCCGCCCGCCGCCCAGGCCCGGCTGCCGCCCTGGCGCGGTGCGCGCGGGGTAGCTTCCTCGCTCGGGGCCGGCTCGCTGCTCGGCCTCCCGGGGGAGCTCATTAGGTCTTGTAAGCGAGGGGCGGAGGGAGGGCGCGCGCGGCGACCGCCCCGGTGGCGAAGGGGAGGGGCTTACTTAGCGGGGCTTAGCCGAGGAGTGGGGGGCGAAGGGGTCGCTTTTCTAGTTTTCTAGGCTTTCTCATGCTCATCTCCTTAACCCCTTAGTTTCCCTTCGCCCCGCGCGTTTCTCTTGGCCAGTTCCAGCCGCAAGATGTGAAGATGGGGTGGCGCGTTCTCAAACTCCAGCTCCTACACAACCACACCCGGGCGTGGGGCACTCTCGCTGAGGCTGAGAAGGCAAGAAGACACGAGGGTTTCAACCCCAGCTCTAGTAATAATAGTAACCATCGGATACGGAGCTTGGGGGCTTCCCAGATGGCTCTCATGGTAAAGAACCTGCCTAGCAATGCAGGAGATGTAAGAGATGCAGGTGCAATCCCCTGGGTTGGGACGATTCAACGGAGGAGAGCACTCCAGTATTCTTGCCTGAAGAATCCCATGGACAGAGGAGACTGGCGGGGCTCTGGTCCACAGGGTGGCAAAGAGTCGGACACGACTGAATCGCCGCAGCAGCAGAGGCAACTTAACACGCACCAGGAACTTGCTTATGCCAGGCACTGTCACTGCATTACCTCATGTAATCTTTGAACAATAGTCCTTTGAAGTACCTATTATCACTCTAACAAATGAGGAGACTGAGCCTGAGAGTTTCAAGGAGTTGGCCAAAGCTATATCCACGCTGGTGGCTCAGAGGTTAAAGCGTTTGCCTGCAACCCGGGAGACCCGGGTTCGATCCCTGGGTCAGGAAGATCCCCTGAAGAAGGAAATGGCAACCCACTCCAGTGTTCTTGCCTGGGGAATCCCAAGGACGGAGGAGCCTGGTAGCTTATACAGTCCACAGGGTCGGACCCGACTGAGCGGCTTAACTCACTCACTCACTCACTCATATCCAGTCCAGGCTGACTGCAAAGCTAAGTCCTTGACAAAACCTAGGTTCTTTCTTGGCCTGGCTTTCTCCCCTATCAGATGGGAGAAGGAAGCTAGTGTCGCTTCAAGCTCTAGCCCTGGTCCTGAGATTCTAACTCGATTTTCAGGTTTTCATTCTCAACTCCGATGCTCATTCTCCTACCCCTTAATTGTTACAGGCAACGGTTTACAGCAAATTGAGGCCAGCGCTTGACTCATCTTTTGTTAGTAGTAGATAGTAGACAGAGGAGGCAAGGGAGAAAGTCACTCCCACTAAGCCAGCTGGTGCTTTAGAGAAAGAGCCCTGTGTGTGTATGAAGCTCTCAGTATCTTAAGACAAAATACGGACCAGAACCTCTTCCCTACCTGTCAAACCATTTAGGTTGCCCTTTTGGAACTTCTCTTGCCTCTCAAGAATCACCTTGCAGTTCATTTAGACCCACTTTGACCTGCGCAAGCTTCTTAGGAGTGAAAAATGAGTAATATGGCAGAGCATGGCAGATGATTCCGAAAGACTTGGGTTCTGATCTTAGCCTCACCACTCAGTCCCTCTGTGTTGGGTTGAAATCCTACCTCTGATGAGTACATAACTTTGGGCAAACCAGCTGACCTTTCTCTGCCTTAGCTCACACATGTTAAATGCAGGTTAGGTTGCCCACATCACCAGGCACTTGTGATCTTTAAAGGAAACATCTTGCGCAAAAATCCTTATCTGTTAACTGTTCTATAGCCTATGATGAATATTTGCCCTTGTTTCTTTAAAACACAAAAAGGTGACTGTTTCCTTACATGGACATCGAATATGCAATAGAACACTTCAATCACAAGGTGTTCCTGAGGATTTAGTGAGGTTACATATGAAGATGCTGTGTGTGTAATAAAGTGTTCCCTAAATAAATTATTATAGTTTAGGTGCAGAGTCTACCCAGGGCAGATAACTCTTTACTTTAAGCCTCATTTTTCAGGATGTAGCAAAACCATTTTTGAGCACTCTGAAGGCACAACCTTACCAAAGGAGAAAGGGCCAGATAAACACTTTTCATTTGGGAGATGAAGTACTTTTCCCACGCTGACATGCGGAAGCAAACTTTAAAAAAAAAAAAAAAAACTCGTTAGCTCAATTATAATGTACCTTTCCTTTGAGTTACACACAAGATTTTGTCCTCTGTGATTGGACTGTTTTATTGTTGGTGACCTTGCACTCAGAAAATTGTGTGGACTTGTCACTGAGCTCCATTTCACCCCCCTCGGATGTGGATGTCAGCACTTTCCTTTCCCTGTCAGCAGGACCCTTCCATGGACCTCTGGGTCTGGCAGCCAAGAGCACTAACTCTTTTTTTTAACCTTCTTTCAACTGAGCAGCTCTTACAAATCCCCAGACAGAGACAATACATTTAACTGACATCTTTAGTCTGAAAAAAAACTCTCTTAATTCCCAGAGTTAGCTAAGCCCTCACATAATTATATTCAAGATAAATGGAATATGAAAACATTCATATATAAAAGTCTGTTTCCAGATCATTGGAGTTCTGAGCATCAGAATTGATTGGCATTAGATGGGATAGGTTCAAATTCTGGCCTGCCACCTGCAAGGTGAGTGCCCTCGGGCAAGTCAGTCTGCCTTTCTAAAGCTGTTTCTTCATCTGAAAAATGGGAGTGGTTCTAACTGTCCTCAGAGTCTTTGTGAGAATTAGGTAAACGTAGAGGCAGGTACTAAAAAGCCTCTTGATGAAAGTGAAAGAGGAGAGTGAAAAAGTTGGCTTAAAGCTTAACATTCAGAAAACTAAGATCATGGCATCTGTTCCCATCACTTCACGGGAAATAGATGGGGAGACAGTGGAAACCATGTCAGACTTTATTTTTGGGGGCTCCCAAATCACTGCAGATGATGACTGCAGCCATGAAATTAAAAGACGCTTACTCCTTGGAAGGAAAGTTATGACCAACCTAGATAGCATATTAAAAAGCAGAGACATTACTTTGCCAACAAAGTAATGTAAGTAAGTCTGGTCAAGGCTATGGTTTTTCCAGTGGTCATGTATGGATGTGAGAATTAGACTGTGAAGAAAGCTGAGTGCTGAAAAATTGATGCTTTTAAACTGTGGTTTTGGAGAAGACTCTTGAGAGTCCCTTGGACTGCAAGGAGATCCAACTAGTCCATCCTAAAGGAGATCAGTCCTGGGTGTTCATTGGAAGGACTGATGCTGAAGCTGAAACTCCAGTACTTTGGCCACCTCATGCGAAGAGTGGACTCACTGGAAAAGACCCTGATGCTGGGAGGGATTGGGGGTAGGAGGAGAAGGGGACGACAGAGGATGAGATGGCTGGATGGCATCACCGCCTCAATGGGCATGAGTTTGAGTAAACTCCTGGAGTTTGTGATGGACAGGGAGGCCTGGCGTGCTGCAATTCATGGGGTCGCAAAGAGTCTGACACGACTGAGCGACTGAACTGAACTGAAGAGGCAGGTAATATCTGAGTCTTGCCTGTTTTATCTGTGCAGTGGAGATCATCTCAACTCCTCAGGGTTGTAGGGAGATGGTATATATGAAAGCTCTGGCACAAAATAGCAGCTCAACAAATGCCCATGTTTTTGATTCTTCCACTCACTTCTTACCAATATGTCTCCCTATAAAATCAACATCATTTGTTCCTTCCCCCAACAAAGTGAGTGACTATTTTCCAATGCAAAAAAGCAGTTATACTTTCAGGTTGTAGAAACTTAGAAAAAGACAGTGTAATAGAGAGAGTGCTGATATTAGAACTAGAGATTAAGACTGGAGCCCAGTATACCTTTTCATTATCCATTTGGCTATAAAAATTTACCTAACCCCCTATACCTAAATATTCCCATCTATAAAATGGGAATAATTATAAGGCTATTGTGGGCAAAGGAGGTAAGACTATATAATGAAGAAAAGACAGCCTTTTCAATAAGTGGTGCTGGGAAGACTGGACAACTGCATGTAAAAGAATGAAACAAGGACATTTCCTTACACCATACACAAAAATAAACTCAAATGGATTAAAGGCTTAAATGTAAGGCCAGAAACTACAAAGATCTTAGAGGAAAACATAATCAGTACTCTCTTTGACATAAATCACAGCAAGATCCTCTTTGACCCACCTTCTAGACTAATGACAATAAAAACAAAAATAAGCAAATGGGACCTAATTAAACTTAAAAGCTTTTGCACAGCAAAGGAAACAATAAATAAATAAAAAGATTAATAAGACTATTGTGAAAATCAGTGGGATGATGGAAATGAAAGTTCTTTGTCAACCATAAAGTTCTATATACAAATATAAGATACTCATAGCTTAGAAGTTCCACAGCCTAATTCACAAAATTGATCCTTATGTAAAAATATCCAATCACTTATTCATTCGAACAAAAGATAATGACACCAACAATATGCTCAGCACTGTGCTAGCACTGTGGATACACAGACAAGAAGCCATGATTCCTACCCTTTCTGGTGGAAAGACAGACATGCAAACAAGCCATTGTAATATAATGTGATGCTTCTCAATAGAAGTAGATTAGAGGTATAATAGTTGATGAGATAAAAGACCTTCAAGTTGCCCAGAGGAGGAAGCCTGCATAGACAGGTACAATTTGAGCTAAGACTTGAATGATAAATTTGTGTACACTAAGCGAACAAGTGACATCTCTGGAACTGCCAGGCAGGCAGAGACATGGTCATGCAAAAGCATTGGTGTTTATGGAAAACGATAAATAAAAAGACAACAATGAACAACTTCTGCTTGAAATAACTCTATACCTGAGACCAAACAAATCCTTAGAGCTTCCAAAGTGCAGCTGAATTGCCCATGTGGCCCCCACCTGTGGTCTCACTTGTTTTCTCCATCTCCTTTGCGGAAGAGCTCTATT